TTTTTGCTTCGAACAAACAAGCACTAAGTCTCTGTGAAGGCTTCCCAAACAACTACCACAGAAATCTCTTCAGGTTCTACTTTTCTATGTTATTTCTTGGAGCAAATAGGCTCTCTTCACACCTGTTTGATCCTGATTCCATATTTTACAGTGACTCGGGAATTTCTTTTCATTTTAAGACAGGGAGTTCTGAAACATGAAGGCATTCTTTACAAACACGTAGAACAAAATCAGGAACACCAAATTTGTTGCGCTTCATGCCGGGAACTGGACTTAATCATGCACATCCCTTGCGCACAACAAAGTAATTCAATTACACTGAGAGCTTCAAAGTTCTCATGGAAGAAGTCTTCATCTTCAACAGTGACAAGTTCAATCTTTAACCCACTTCTGCAGAGGATTGACTGGAACCATAAACTGCCTCTCAATGATTTTTTAAATGACCTCTCCTGTATATCAACTCAGCTCTCAAATTCATTCCTCTGGAGTTCAAAAGGGTTCAAATAAAACTGACAAACCCAATACCGTGAGGATCTTCTGACTGATAATTCTGTATCTAAGGCGTTTACTTGGCAATAAATCAACTGGACTTGGCAAAACACGTGAACAGAACCAGAATGGATTTCAAAACATCCTCCCCTGGCTGCTCTGTATCTGATCCTTAAACTCAGACAACTTACCTGAATTTTTGTCCAGTGAATGCCCGCTCCAGGAGGTGAAATGAACCTACACACAGGCACGAACACAGGCAGCATCCCTACAAAGGTCTGCGTGTTTTCACATATAGTTAAACCACTGAACAAAAGGTTCTGACAAAACCCGTGCTGAAAACCAACTCGTCTAAAAGATAACTCATATTTCAGTGGAAAAAGAGAACAGGTTATTTTAGGGAATTCCCAAGTCGGAGATTACTGAATTCTGACAAAATAAACACTGAAAAAATAAGTGGTCTAAAAGATAGTTCATATTTCATGAGAAGAACAAATGAAGGTTACCCAAGGAAAATATCGATTTGGAAGAATTCCACTGAATGCTAAGCAAGTCAGAGCGGAGCAGCGTTCAGGCACAATGCAGCAGGGCTGCCCTGCGCCTCAGGCATTACATGGGCTGCACCTTGAAGGAGAAGACTGCAAGACTGGAGCTTAGCTCAGCATCCCTGCAATTATTCTGCATCCATATGAAACACAAGCAGCTAAGCCTTCGTTGCAGAAGGGCAGCAGGTACAGAGGGCGCCTGCAAAGTGGGTGTCAGGCAGCTGGGCTGAGCACCCACCGTGTTGGCCCTAACATTTGGCATGTCCCACCATACAAAGCCTTACCATGCTCATAAACCTCTTCTAGTGGCTGAGAGAGACCCGATTAATTCATGCCCATGAAGAGACTCCAGCTCAGGATGAAGCTCTGCCTGGATTCTCGCTCTCCTCCCTTGCCTTGGAACAGGGGGTCTTTATGCCAGAATGAGAGCATTCTGGCCACAGCCAGCTTCTAGCTCAATGAGAGCTAATTATCATTATTGGGAATTATTTCAGACAGGATTTGGGACAACCGGATCCTGTCTTCCCCTTTTTCTTCAGAGGTCGGTGCCTGCATTATTCATCAAAGAACACACTACCTCAGAGCTTTTAACTTGTGAGCATGCTGTTCAGCCCACAAATTACAGCCCATGATAAAACTTGATGTGCAGAGCTGGAACTTACACCCAGTCACTGCAGAGCTGCCTCACTCCTATGTAAATCAGTTCTGAAGCAGATGGCATAAAGCTGAGATGCCCAATAACCTCCTGCTCGGGTGTCAGGGAGCTTAGCCTGATAGTGGGGTGGAGGTGGGATTATTTCATTGGTATTATTTCCACCAGCCTTCTGCAGAACGAAGGGAGAAAAATAGAGCTTACCTTAAATTGCCAGGCTTCATTGGAAAGGAAATCATGAAGACAGAATTACTTCCTGGACAATTAAATTATTTCACTACAACCAATTGAATATGTGTAGAAACCAAAACTGACACTCAGTCTCACACCAACAAAGGAGGTGGTGGATGCCTGATCACCGGAGGCATTCAAGGCCAGGCTGGATGTGGCTCTGGGCAGCCTGGTCTGGTGGTTGACAACCCGGCCACATAGCAGGGGCTGAAACAAGATGATCACTGTGGTCCTTTTCAACCCAGGCCATTCTATGATTCCATGAAACACAAAGAGCACTGCCCAGTTATGAACAAACAGAAGTCCTCCTAAATCCTGGTAGGACACACTTTTCAGGGTACTGCTGCTGAATGTTGACTTCTATATAACAATTGGTGTCCAACTTAATAAATGAGATATCCAGCTGTAGATCCTGACATTTCAAAAAGCAGAAAGCAGGTGAGAGAGTTACTAAATCAATACATTTCAAAAATGTAGAACGAAAAATGCAAGTCTTTTCTTCTCTTCTCTTCAATTATTTAAGTGTATAAACACTAGGTATTTTATCTGACTGAGAAAGAGCAAAGACTCAGCTTGGCTCAAGCGTTATCCCAGCAAATCTGACCAGCCCCCAAAAATCCCTCATCAGAAGGTGGGCAATGCAGATGAGCGGCAGGCTGCTTATCACCAGAAGAATTAACACAGGCAGGTGAACTTGTACTCCTGGGGTCTCATGTTCATTTGCACCTCTCACATTTATCAGCGGATGCACTTTGCAATTCATGAGCAGAGATGCTCACTGTGATGTGTCAGCAAGAAAATATTTTGGTTAGAAGCCAGAATGTGATCGTCTTTCTACGAAACTGGCATAAAGAGAAGTAAAATCCACAGCTTATCTTGGCACAAGTGCCACCAGCTCTACTGGCAAGAAATCCCTACCATGAATTGCAGTCTCAGCCTCATGCATACAATCCAGTGGCAGTCTAGTGCAGTATGAGGACAATTCCTACCTAAATCCAACACCAACTCCATTTCTCTGCCCAGAATGCTTGGAAAGAGCCACAATCATCTAAATACTGCCAGTTCTGTGTTCTCATTTCCCTATAGGCAATATATAACTTAGTTTTAAAATTACAGTCATTGTGCTGTAAATTTATTTTAACCATTAGATCTGACCCTATGTTATCTAGGAAAAAAAAATAAAAAAGCAGTCACATATTTCCAAAGTCTGAAGGCTGCATTATAGCCCCAGCTTAGTAATTACAAAGATTTATGTTCCATTCTACCCCAAATCCAGAGCTCATTGTCCATTCAACTTACACAGCCCTGACTTACAGTTCTGTGCATCCATTATCTTTAATAATAAAGAGCTGACTGAAGTTAATGATTGAAGAGCAAGATGTGATTAATAATATGAATCTAATTTACGAGAAAACAAACCGGAGTATGATTTTCATGTTTCATTAAAATTATCTTAAATGTACTCCTTAATGCTAATTGATCTTACAGAGGTGAGAAAATATTCTGTTCCAAATTAATGGGAGAAAATCATTCATCATCTTTCTGTAGGGAACATTAACTATCACTCAGTATTTAGGGAGATAGCATCTTCACGGAGATTTCGCCACCCGAAGTGATGCTTCAGTGTGGGCACATCTCTGAAACTAGAAACATTTCCCACCAAATGGGGAAACAGTTGAACTGAATAAACACACAACAGAACACCATACACAGAGTTTTGGTTTTGCAAAAGGCTTCTCCTACCTTCTCCAAACTTACTCGTTGAAAAGCAGCACTGGTCAAGGGCTTTTTTCTTAAGTTAATAGTTAAAAGAATTTTTCTTTCATAACGTTAGTTTGCTATAGACAGTAGATTACTGAGACATTTGTACAGTGAAGTTCCATGCAGGATTTACTAAAGACAAAGCAGAAACCTTGCTTTCCAATGATTTTTACTTCTGTCTGTATTCCAATGTTTTCTCTGATTGAATTATTCATGTTCAGATATCAAATATTCTTACAAACCAAGGCATTTAATAATAATGAGTCTCGGCTGGCTTCATTCCAACTAGTTGTGCTTTATGCCCAGGACTGTTACTAAACGACCTTCTATTCAGTCAGTTTCTATGATCCAAAATAGAAATTGCATAATGAGCATCTCAAATATTCTACTGTCATTTTCACGTCAGTTTTTCTCATGCTGTGTTTGTAGAGCTCTGATGGCAATATCTATGAATACACAGCATTAGCTTCTTGCTTCTTTCCTCTCAAACCTCTTCCATCAACACAGCTTTCTGTGTTGTGGGCAATTCCATGTTCAGCACTGATCACAAAATGCCGAGTGACCGCACGACCAACAGAAGTGGTAACTGGAGAATTTCAAGAGTTGCTCAGTAAGAAATACCACAAGCAGCAATAATTATTGAACTTTCTGATGAAAGAGAAGAAAATGCCTCTTACCCTGTACTTGTATTCGACCTGAACAGGATTTACATATTTGCAGACTGCAAAGCACCAGGGACAATTACTCCCTGCAAGGTACTAAATCCATTTATACCTATACTAAAGAACGGAGGTATAGAAAAATAAAGGAACAGATGCAGTTTCTGACACTGCCTACAGCAATATGTTCAGGAGAAAAGCCATACATATTGCATGAGAAATCAGCAGTGAGTTCTGAGGGGAATTCCTCCTAAATGAAGAAAAATATTTCAGACTTCCAAGTTATTGCATCTTATATTTCTCCTATGCTATCTCTCCCCATTTCCTTAAAGCACACGCCATGCTTAAAAAAGCAGCCAGACAAAACTGAACTGACGCTCTTCTATCTTCTGACTGGAAACTGAACTGTGCTGCATCCTAATCCAAACCATCACTCACATCAAAGCCCACCTGTTTATTTAGTTTTTTAGGTGCACGTCCATTTGTCGAAATGCTAAAAGGTGATATTTTTCGTCCAAGAATAATAAGTTACGTTAATGAACATTCCATTGCCACATCACCCTTACCTCCTCCTTTAATTCTAAACTGGCTTTCATTTTTCTCCTACTATCCATGCCATTAACTTGCTTGAATTCCAGAAAGACCAGGAAGAAGATTGCTTACCGTTCTGGCATCCCAGAGAGATAAAGTCTTGTCAGCAGAGCTTGTGAGAACAGTGTTGGAGAATGGAAAAAATTCAATGCTACTGACTGAGTCTTTATGGCCACGCAAGGTATATCTGCATCTCTCACTGTAAAAGACAACAGAAATACAGCACTTGTCATTCAGGATAACAAGAGATGAGTTAATAACAGACTTTATGTATTTTTCCTAGTTTCTATGCAGCCCTCTCCCTGCTGATCAGCTATGAAGGAATATCCCACAGGTTTCTGTTTAGCTTTCTTCTCCATTTGATTGGTTTTCTTATCTTTTAATGGGTTAATTTCTGAGAAAACGCTACTAGTTCTTCTCAGTTCAGGCTATGAACCTGACACAGATGCAAAACTACACTGGAAGCTCTTCCTGATGCATTTACTAGAGAGACAACAACTAGAGCACTGCACAAAACAGGCTGGAGATGGCTACAGAGCAATGATGTTATACAAGGTTTTTGGCTTCTGTTCTGGTCTTTGTAAGGACAGCAGAACAGAATGCTATCTAAAATGGAGTCCAGGAGAAGAGAAGGAAGATCCCAAGGGAGATGCAATGGGACAACGCAGAAAGCAACAAACAGATCTGGGATTATTCACACCAGAGGGAAAGGCAAAGGCTTCGCTTCTACACAGGATGAGAGGGGGACTGAAATGAACTGGCGTTCACTAGCCAGTGTGGCTGTACACAAGTCACCCATGATACGGGATTCATCTGTGATTTCATTAGCTATAGATAAAACACCATCACTTAGCAGTGTTTGTGATGTTAGAACCTGTGAAAATGTACAAGGAGGAGAGCATGCTACGGAAAAACATAGTCAAGATCAAGTCAGTAGCAGCTCTATCGTCTTTGTTGAGCTGGCTTAAAATACAGTTGGAAAAAATAAAAGCCAACAAGCCACCATAAATTACTACAGCTCTCAGTGACAGCTCAGAATTTTATTCCCTGCTCATGTGATTCTGACAGTGGAAATGCACCTCCCGAGCTGGCTGCTGAATATATCATTGAGGCTTGCAAATTAGATTACTGGGTGGCTCTTAACTGAGAATTTCTTACAATATTTATTAAGGAAGCTGTCAGCAGAGGGAATTAAAGATGTGATTTTTTTTGCCTCCTGCCTGCATGTTGCCAGAAGACTCTCGGAGCTCTTGCAGGCTTTGTATCAACAGCTCTGAAGATCAGAAGCAGGCCAGCAGAGCTCAAAGGTTCTGATGGACGCTCTCCCAAACCACTGATCTGAGTTCTCAGCCTATTGCACTGTCTTTCCATTTCCCAGACTGAAATGCAGATGCTGTGCTGAGCCAAACACCAACCCTGTTCCCACAGAAGAGAGCTAGAAGAAGGGAGATAAGTTACATCTGAGCAGAAATATTATCCAAGAAATATATTTGAAAGGAATATTAGATTCTACATGTATCATTTTACAGAATCTATGTTTTTCTATTATAGGTAATACATTGTACTCTTCAGTATTATCTATTATATAGACTGAGTGTGTTATTTTATCACCAGGCCTCATTTTGAACTATTGATAAATTATCACAGCTGTTAGCACTCAGTGCACGCTGGATCTGATATTCATGATCGCTTGATAAACAACAATGAAATCATTTCAAGAAAACAACTTTTTGTTTCACAGCCTCGTAGCAATGTTTTACACCACATAGGGTGCCCTTTTCATCTCCACTTGTATAGTTCCATTTGTGTAGAGGAATGGTATTTTTCAAAAGGGGTCAGTGATTTTCTGTTTGCCTGTTACACCGAAGGGAGTTTCGAGTTGCTGAACATTTACAACCAAAATCATGCCATGTGCTTTTGTGGGCACTTGCCAGTTTTGAACAGCTTTACAGAGCACAGTGTGACAGTGCTCTGTTACCTTCCTGTAGCACCAGTGTGTGTGCCCTCTCCAAAGGCAGAGGGACAATCACACCTTCACCTGCTTAGGGGGCTTGGGGATGAAAGAAAGCTCGGAAAGGGTGGGAAGGGATGGAAATCAAGGCAATGCTGTCCCCGAGTCAGTGCCTTCAGATATGGGCCACCCCAGGCAGACAGGCTGCAAGAACAGGCTTGCAAGAGATTAATTAGGTGCCAAAGCAGGAGGGCCCATTCAGAAGGTGAAAATGGACTAAAGTGATGGACCATGACAGGAGCAGACGGGAAGGAAATGATTTGTACTTTTCCATCAAGAACATGCACAATCAGACCTGATGCAGTTGTCAGTCTCTCTCCTTGCCACTTCCATACCGTTGCGTACTGATGAGCGAGCTCTGGCTCTCAAGATTTAATTTACCACTCTGGGAACTGGCTGACTGATATTTCTAAAAAATCTCCAACTGCTATATAAAATAAACTCATCTTTCCTTCCAGCTGAGATATAATTTCAGCAAGACTGTCTTGTATACACGCTATCTTTTAGAGAAGAGGAGAATATTTTATTTAGGTATTCTTTTTCCCCAAAAAACTTGATAAGAAGGGTAGACCATCATCCTGTTTTTCACGAGAGCTCATATTTCTATCCAATGGCTTAAGTTCATCTATATTAGAATAAATCTGCAGCAAAATGCATTAACTGTTGCTTTTTTTCCTATTTATGAACGCACAGCCTCATAGATATAAGCTTTGCTCTCTCTGAAAACATTAGTTTGGAAAAGAGGGACGTTTGTCTACAAAGAATTGGTTCATAGGCATTTGTAATTCTCTTGGTGCTTAAATCCAGAGACAAAGATCCTGAATGACCCTGAATTATGTCACAGTACAAATACTGCCCCGTAGCTCAGTATTTCGCAGGATGCATGGTGAACGTGTTCACAGATCCTGCATTTGTAGTATTTTTGAAGTGTAAAACATCACACGTTTTCTTGACTTGTAATTATCCTCAGCGTTTCCTTTTTCTCTACCGGGTTTATTTTCCTTCCCTTACAATCAGATACACTAACGATGCCCTTCAACAAATGAGCAACTGTGTTCCACCCTCACAGGGTATCAGTGCTTCCTAAGAGGTCCAAACCAACTCGTGCAGGTTGTTACAGTCATAAGAAACACACGTACACCGTTGATGTCAGCACTGAAATTAGTGTAGCCCTTATCGATATCACCAGTTTAACAGCAATTAAAGAAATTGCTTTGCTCAATTCCTAAGAGACTTCTTGGAGAATCACAGTCCAGAATGGCCCATTCAAATTCAAAAGGTATAACTACACTGAAAATGAGATATGTGATGCTGCCACTTCCATAAGGCTTAACTGAGCATTACCTACACTAAAACACAAAAGCAGCCAAATTATGCGCTAGTTAGCCGTTCCATCTGCAGAGTAACTAAAAAGAAAACACAGATAGCAGTTAGGTATCTCTTACACTGCACTTTTGCATCCACACAGAGTTAAGAACAAGCTGGAACTACCTGATGGGAACATTTTACGACTGCCTGGACGTATTTATTGCTACAGACTACATGGGGCACAAAGCAATGGAGAGATGGAGAGCCTGTGGTGCTCCATTCTCATTTCTAAAGGTTCAAACAAACAAGAGCAAAACGTGTTGCCAATTCTTTTACTATTTGAATTTTTAATTTTTTTTAAAAGAAACACTCATGGTTACACTAGCAATCCTATGTAAACAAGAGAATATCTGTCACAATTTATTTTTTTTTTTTTTTTAAGTAAGCTGTTTCTACACTGAGCTCTCATTGTAAAGAAATGTGGTAGGACGATGCTTTTTCAATGATTAGTTAGTTAGTCATAGCTGTTCTACTGCAGAACCATATTAAATCTCATTTCAAGCACAGTAATTAAGAGCATCCATAAACTAATTGAAATTAATGAGATTACAGCATGTACTTTGGAATCAGGGCCTCTAGCAACCATCTTCTTACAAGCCTTCTGAAGGAAGGCACTAGCCACACAAACCCTCTCCAACTGTGCCATCTTCTCCAGCAGCTACTCTCCTCTCTCAAATCCATTGAACGAGCACTAAACTAAACCCTTTTTCATGCTTGTTGAGTAATATCCTACTATGTGACCTGCAATCCCTATCAAGCAAAATGTCAAAGTAAATTACACTGGAAAGCCACTTGCAAGAACGCGGACGGAACATTTCTGGGGAAGCTGTGTAAGGTCACACAAGATCAGCTCTGATCGTGTTATAGGATTGTAGCAGTTAAAAGGAGAATACCTTCAACAAAAACAAATCCTATCAATTTCCCATTATATGGCTTTATCTCCAAAATGTGCTTAAATTAGTCATAGAACTTTTCCAGCCAAGATCAATGGGCAAGTATAGCAAAAGGGCTGGCTTAAGACATTAAAATGCCAGTTTGTTTTATGCTGTTATAAATGCATCCTATCACGTCTTTACATTTTATGACCTCTATTTTATTTCTAGGTAGCTTCACACATGACACATCCAATTATTCATGTCAAGAATGTAAAACTACCAGTATTTCAGTAAAAAGTACCTACCATCATTTATGACAATGATTTTTTCTTGACCCATTATTTCACTAAATGCAACACATTTTCTACGACGTTGACATGCGAGGACAGTTTCTCTGCAAAGCACATTTGTCTCTAAAAAGATATATGTTGGTGTGATGCTGTCAATATGACACACTTGGTTCAATTATTATTCATCTTCAGTAAAATGAAGCTCTCCTCAAATTCAGAATATTCATTTGTGCCCTCTTTCTAACTAACATCTGACACCTGGAAAACCAAATGCTGAAGCACATGCTACTACTGTTTCTGGGAGAAGATACACAGTCCTTCTAATAATTAAAATATTTAGAAAAATATTAAAAGTATATGAATTCAATCTTTCTCCATGTAATTCTTATCAGTCAGCACTCATGGAAGATGTTAATCTTCACAACCTAAGCACTGTGCAAAACAACAAGGAACGCCCTGGCCTGGAAGAAGCTGTGAGGCAGTGCTTCTCTGGCAAGGACCATTTTGCAGAGCCATCTCTGACTTACTAAATTACCTGAAATCATTTTTCATTACTGTTCTCAGACAACGTTCACTGTAAGAGTTTATAGATAAGCAGCGAGCAGAAGCAGGATGGCCACCACCAAGGTCAGGGTGTGCTGTGCAGGACCGGTAG